TTGTGTAGCATAGACTGACCTTGTACCGATGGTGGCGTGATCACTGTTGAAGGCTTACTGAAGGAGCCTATGTACTCAAGATTTGGTGGAACTTCGGGTTTATAGTGTGCACAAACGGAGGCGGAAAGAGACACTTTTGGTTGCAAATTGGTGAAGATGTAGGATTGACCTGACGAAAGATGGATACTTTTTTGCTTCCTGTTATTGAGGTTCCAGAGAATGGTATAGCCAACGATGTGGCCGTGAGATTTGGCTGGGAGATCCCACTTCATGTTCACAGTGTGCGGGTCGATGGCTTCAAGTTTCACATTTTGTGGTGCACACTGGTCTGCAAGCGAAGCATAGGCATTGATTCTGCATGTAAGATCTTGACCAAAACCGATTCTTATGCGCCTAAGTCTTGCCAGCTATGTTCATTTCAGTAGTAGTAATAAAAAACCTAAGCATATAAATTGTTGCGTATTAACTACTAATTGATTATAAGTAGACTATCATTAGTTAAAAAGATGGACCTGCTTTTGATGGCTTAAACAGCAGTGGGTCAGCCAACTCGCTGAAAACATTGGGCAGTACCAGTCCTCGCACCGTTAACTCGTATGGCACTGATGGAAGCAGCGTCCCCACTTTATATTTCCGTTCGCTGGCCGTAAGGTTGGCTTCTGAATTCCATTCGTTCCGAAGGACTGGACTGCCAATTCTTAGCAACACCTCAAAACCACCGAATTTTCCTTTCACGTCCTCAGGGTCGTGTATCAATAAATCCAGTTCCTCACGATGTTCGTAGTATTTTGCCTCAAATTTCGGTTTTTTCATGCCTGCATGAGATTAGTTATAATAGGTAGATAAAACGAAGCTCATATTTGAAAACATTCTCTATTGTGGTGAACATTTATAGCCTGAACCTGTGTATAGCACTGATGCATCGGTTAGGTTAAAGCGATAGACTTACCTCGATCTGGGCGAAATGTGGTTATTTTGGTAGGATTACTGCGTGCACTGATGTACTTCAGTTTCACCGAAGTGTTTGGCTGATGGTGGGCGCAAATAGAGGCGATAATGGTTTGTCCACTCTTTAAATTGGTGAAGTCGTAGGAGTTGCTTGAGGAGAGGTTAATGCTTTGCTGCCTTACAGCATCCAAAGTCCAGTGGATAGTGTAGCCAGTAATGGAATCGTAAGACATGATTGGTGGATCCCATGTCATGCGAACTGTATCAAAGTCCAACACTTGAAGATGAACATTCTGAGGAACACTAACACCTGGACAGGGAAGAGCACGTGCATTTACACTTAGTGT